TAATAGTTATAACCTCTTAGTACCCTAGAGCAGTGGTTCCCAGCCTTTTTGGTACTGTGACCCATTTTTTAAAAAAAGAGCATACACAAATCAATAAAATTACAAAAGCCTCGGATCCACTTTCACAGGCTTCGCAGGCCTCTTTTGGGTTGGGAGTTGGGATCCACCAGTTAGGAAACACTGGCCTACAGGAGGAAACCTCTCTCAATCCTGAAGTCGGAGTTGTCTCTCTGCAAGAGTCACCTTTATTTAGTTTCTCTCCAAGGCTTTTTGTACATTTTGAGCCAACCCTTCTTTCAATGAGCTTGTACACTAAGGTTGTTAGTATGAAAAAATGCATATTCATCGGTTATGCAAAGGTTTTGGTGATTTTACAAAAATCAGACAGTAGGAATTTTTTCAGTTTTTAAACTGAATATTCAGTTTTTAAACTGAATATTGTAAACCAGAATGCAAATTCTGGATGGGGGTCTAAAACTCTTTCTGGTACCACATATGATATGCACTCCCAAAGCTTTAAGTGAACACCGGAAGCCCCGCTGTCTGTTGCCAGGGAATGCTTTCCATATAAATTTAGGACTGTACACAGAGAAATGTAAGATTTGCAAAAATCTTGAAGTAAGAGAAATAAAAATAGGAAAAACACGACTTTTGGAGGAAATGAAATATATGGACTACTTAATTTCTTATCAAGCATAAATTTCTTTTACTGTGTTAACATAAAATGCATAGTTTATACCTCAGCTATATATATCCTTAGGCAATATTGTATACATTTATAGGAAACACAGGAATTTTCATTGTTAAATGATACAGACTGGCACAAAAAAGATCTTCATACGACAGACTGGCACAATCTGTACTACATAATACAGACTGCCACAAAAAGTTCTTCATACTACATATTCTGAGTTAGTAAAAATACTGTCTTAAAAAGCATTTCATTCATTCCAAAAGAGAGAGTATTTCATGGTTATTGTTTTTTCCAGCTCTGTCTACACTTCTTGGTGCACCAATCATCTTGAGAAAATTGTAACAAAACATTGGCTCTACAGGTGCCAATCGCAAGATTGTGTGTGACCTTTGATGGACTTGCATGTGAGTAACACTGTGCATGACCATAACCACAAGAACTCCGAAAAAAGTTTCAACTGAAACTGTAAACTCAGCCACAACTATTTCAGTCAACCATTATGGGTTTATGGCAGCCTACAATCAAGCCAGCCCTCAACGATCCCACCAATTTGAATCAAGATACATCAAAATATTTATCAGTTTCAAATGCTTTAAATATATTTTAAAATATTTTGTATTTCAATATTACACACAGAATTCAAGAACTGTTAACAGCACATATCTGCATGTAAACATGCTTAAATACATGTGCTTCACAACTGCAAAACCCATACTCCTTACACTGTGAGATGATCCCTGGCTGCTTGTGAAAATATGTGTGCTTCTGGCCCTTGGGCCGCATCCTGACAAGAACCCCTAAAAATCAGCTGCTATCAATGTTTCCTCTAATGTTTTTCCCCCTACTGAGCACATCCTGAGCCGAACATAACCGCTGTAATCTTAAAACTGGCAATGAGCAGTGCAAGACCCTGCATGGCTCCAGACTGCTGCTGAGCAGGGCTTCCTGTGTTAATGAGTGGCCACTTGCATACACAGCTTAGAGGAAACACTGGAAGCTATTTTTCACTATTGTCAGCCATACCGCCATCATATTGCTTAAAAACAGTATCTTTGAGAGACATAAAATGGAACACATCCTGAATGGCAAAAGATAGACGTTTCTGAATTGTGCGCTGTTTCCAAAAGCAGTTAATAATAGGGCAGTGTATTTTGAGGGGACAACCAGAAATTTCAGTACCTCTAAGGAAGCACTAAGCATAATAAATCTCATATTAAAAAGCTGTGTATGTTATCATCTCCAAGATACAGTGAAGTATCTTTTGCCAAGGAGTATATAAGAATGTAATGAAATGATTACAATAAACCTGGAATAACTAGTAATTATTATGACCCCATAGCATGTATCATCTTCATTCCTCCAACCAGCTCTTTCTCCCTCCCTCCCATAAAGGGGTTTGATCTGTTCGAAGGCATTTTCAGTGGCTTTGGATTAGGCTGGCAATAGAGGTTGTTGTGTTTTTTTTTTAAGCTATTTCTTGTCAGTATTCAGAGAAGCACGTTCCAGCAGGCTTTTTGTTGATTTAATTTCTGTTTATATGGGTTATGTTTATAACAGGATTATTCTGATTTACGGTTTTATTATTACACATACTTGCAAGCGTAATTTGTAAACTGCCTTGGGCCAACATGTAAGGAAAGGCAGTCTCTGAACACTGATATAAATAAATGTTAAAGCTTCCTCTAGCTTGTCTTGGCAAGAGATTTTTCACCTCTATCATAGTACTTACAATGAAAAGTGAAAGCATTCTTACAATAAACACAACGCTTCACAGAGACTGAACAGCCGGAGTCTTTCTTTCCTAGACATCACCAATATTACAGCTATCACTTTCTGAACTGTATTAGACAAGAAGCACTACAATCAAAGTGGGTCAGACCACGGATTGAACCTGGGACCTTCTGCAAGCAAAGCATATCCTTTACCACTAAACCACATCCCCTGCCCATCTGAACTGGAAGCACATGAGTGGCTGGCATGATCTCCAAAGAGTATGTTAGAACCAGACTTCTCTCAAGCCTGTAGGAAATACTGAACACCAGCTAAGGCCACTCTTGGAACTCCCTGTACAAGGCAGATGGCCCTACTTTACCTATTGGGCAGGGCTGTGGTTTGGAAGCTCAGAAGGAAGATACCTGGAACCAGGGCCACAGAGAAATTATCAACACATGGCATTGCCTTATCCAGAGTCAGAACTGTGGCCCATCATGGTCAGTACTGTCTACTGACCAACAGCCACTCTCCAGGGTCTCAAGTGGAGATCTTTGTACTGGAGATGGCCTTTGTACTGGAGATGACAGGAACCGAACCAGGGCCCATCTACAGATGCTCTACTACTAATCCTCAACCTACAGGAGGGTGGCATAATGTTGTTTTAAAGAAAAAGGTTTCCCTTGCTTGAAAGTTAGTTGAATCCAACTCTAGGGGGCAGTGCTCATCTCCGTTTCCAAGCCAAAGAGCCAGCGCTGTCCAAAGATGTCTCCGTGGTCATGTGGCCGGCATGACTAGACGCCAAGGCACACAGAACACTGTTACCTTCCCACCAAAGTGGTAACTATTTATCTACTTGCAATCTCTTGCTTTCGAACTGCTAGGTTAACCTCTGAGCCACTGCGGCCCTTTTTGTTTTAGACTCATCTTAATGTTTTTATATCTGTTGTTTTAGACTCATCTTAATGTTTTTATATCTGTTGTTCCAAGTTTCATACAGTAATTTTTACACCGCTGTTACCCACCTTTGGCTCCTGAGGTGTTCAGGAGAAAGGTGGACAGGCCCTTGGTTTTGGTGGGGCCCCTCATTTAATAGCCATGCCCCACAAGTCCTGCTGCCAAAAACCATGTTTTCAAAATATTTCTTTGGATATTAATTCAGGTAAGCTCTGCCACGCTGCACCCTGCCTGAAGCCTGCATTTAAAATCCTCAATTCTGGGACCCTGGTAAGCACCTCTGGTTGTTGTCCGACTCGTGCCAAAAGTAGAAGAGGAGATTGGATTTATATCAATTCACTTGGGAGTCTCAGTGTGGCTTACAATCTCCTTCCCCTTCCCACAACAGACACCCTGTGAGGTAGGTGGGGCTGAGAGAACTCTTTTGAGAACTGCTCTTTCCAGAACAGTTCTGAGAGAACTGTGACTGAACCAAGGTCACACCAGCAGCTGCATGTGGAGGAGTAGGGAATCAAAGTCCTGTTTGGGGCAGTGGCTCATGGGGGTTTGGGGGGTGAACAGCTACAAACACAATTCATGTTTGAAGAGCTGCTATTAATGATTTTAAGAGAGCCAAAAGTCCTGTCAGTCAAAATAATGGTGTAATTTGCTTATGGTAATTTGTCTGCTCTTAATCTAATTAAGTTCCCTGCTCCACTGCCCCACCGACCAAAATCTTCTGGCTACACCCATGAAGGTGGATACACAAACATTATATACATCAAAGAAAGTAAATAAATCTTTCCCTTAACATATACTTATTTAGCACAATTCTGTCTCATCCTTCCTCCAAGGATTTCAGAACAGGATACATTCCCTTCCCTTATAAAAACCTTCAAGTGTGTTAAGGAAAAGAGAGCAACTGCCCAAGGCCACTCAGCCAGCTCCATAGCAAAGTAGACAGTACTGACCACGATGGGCCAAGGTTCTGAACCTGCTTCTCTGGGACATGCTAGGAAAGACATGTGATTTGTTCTCATGGGGCGGCCTAGATGGTTCAGATGATGAAAAGGACATCACAGGACCTCTGCAAGAGCGGCGGGCTCATGATGGCCTTGCCTGGGAATACGGTTGCTAATTTTGGGTTGGGAAATTCCTGGCGATTTGGAGGTGGAGCCAGGGGAGGGCGGGGTTTGGGGAGGGCAGGGACCTCAGAAGGGTATAAAAGTACGGAGTTCACCCTTCCACAGCAGTCATGTCCTCCACGGAAATAGGATTTCTGTCTTCCGGAGTGGAGTTGGAAGTTTGGGAGAATTCCGGCCCCTATTCCCCCCCATCCCGGGGGGATCGCAAACTTAGGCTCCCCCCCCCCCAAAAAAAAACGTGGGGGAGAAAAAGCGAAACGACTCCGACAACCGACCCCCAACTCTGCCCCACAAAGCGCGGCTCCCTCACCTTCCCGCAATGCCAAGGCCCGCTTCTCCACCCCCATTATTGGGACTCCCACGGAGAGCTGCCGTCATCCTTTCCCCCCTCCCCGACCTTTCCCATTCCGGACCCCCCACCACCACCAACTCCGCCCCACAGAGCCCTTCACCCCGGTAGGCCCCGCCCCCTCGCTTATACCTCCCTCCACAGGGGTCCCCGTCCAGCCCCATACCTGGCCCGGTATCGATCCGGGGTGAGGGGGAAAGAGGCGCGGGCCTACCCAGGCCCCACTCTTTTTCCCTCTCTCTCTCTCTCTCTCTCTCAATTCTCTCTCAGGGCTGATGGAGTGAGGGGGGGATGTTTGCGATTGCGAAACCGGCCCCAACCAATCAAAAAGCGGTGTACCGCAAGGATGATGCAACTCTCGCCCTCCGTGTTCCGACTGGCGGCTCGTCTGACCAATGGCTGGTCGGATCGTCAGAGATCACCAATCGTTAAGCTCTGGCGGTTGGACAGGCAGGAGCCACAACCAATGAGGGACTTTGCCTCGAAGGGGGTTTTTTTTAGTCAGAGGCAGGCGGGATCGTAGGGTTGGTGTTCTTGGGGGGGGGGGAAGGGGATGGGGATGTGATGGGGGGTTTATTCTAAATATATTATTATTTAATTCTTCTAAATTGTAGACATGTTAACTGCTCTCAGTTCCTCGTACGCCGCACAAAAAGAGTTAAGTCACCAAAATTCAAACTTCTGCTAACGAATAATGGAGCTTGTTTTCTTTAAACACATAAATACTAACATCGAGGACATAGTGGAGCTTCATAACATTATTGTGCCTGATGTGAAGGAACAGAGAATTGTTTCCCTCCTATCCAGAATGTTTTATTATTTAAAGCATTTCCGTTGTATCTTTTCCAGTGACTCAAAGTAGAGGCTACTGCTGCATTAACTCAGTTCTTTTGTTGTTTTTAGGTTGCTTCTTAAGTCTATCGTGTTAATATTGTAAGGTGACTCTTAAATACACACACACACAACCTTTATTGGCATGAAAGCACAAAACAGTATGGAAATACGGGAATTTTAAATACAGGGTGAGGTATGTTCTAACTGGAGCTCCTTACAGCTCAGAGAAGTAAGGTGACGATAGGTAAAGGTAAAGGTTCCCTTGCTCGAAAGCCAGTCGAATCCGACTTTAGGGTTGCGGTGCTCATCTCCATTTCAAAGCCGAAGAGCCAGCGCTGTCCGAAGACATTTCCGTGGTCATGTGGCCGGCATGACTAAACACCAAGGCGCACGGAACGCTGTTACCTTCCCACCTAAGTGGTACCTATTTATCTTCTTGCAATTGCTTTCGAACTGCTAGGTTGGCAGGATCTGGAACTAGAGATGGGAGCTCACTCCATCATGCAGCACCCAGGTCTCGAACTGCTGAACTATAAAAATTATGTTCTTCAAAGAGAAATTGTTTGGGGTTTTTTTTCCTTTGGTTGTGTGTTTGTCGTTTCTCTATGTCAGTAGACTTTCGTGCAATTTTAAACCTATTTTGCACCCAGCACCACCTTTTCCCATATATTTGTGCCTACTGAAACTCGCGTAATCTTGAATCCTTAATTTCTGGTTTTACTTATTAAAAGAAAGACCCAGTGAGGGTCTTTCAAGGCACTGCTGTAGTAGTTAAAAAGTTGGACTAGGATGTGAAATACTCAGGTTCAAATCCCATTCTGTCATGCAACTCTCTCTAGATGCTCTCTCATACTTCAACCTCCTTTTTTATTCCTGCATATCCCCTCCACCCATGGGGCTGGTGGAAATTACCATCATCTTGGAATTAGTGTTGTTTTTCTGACTATTTTTAAGTATTTTAATGTTTTCACTCAATTATATTGTATTTATTTCTGATGTAAGCCGCCCTGAGCCCTGCTCGCAGGGAAGGACAGCCGATAAATCAAATATAATAATAAATAAATGCCCAGGCAGGAGAAATGGGAAGGAAATCCCTAATCTTAGCCCTGTGTCCATGACTGCTTATTTTGATACTCATACAGATTGCCACTGAAATGACCCATCTGGATGGATCCTTCTTGTTTGACGCCTCCCGCCTTCTCGATGGGCCCTGACCCTCGGTCCTTTGCTCACCCTCTCGCGTCCGCCACTTCTGTCCACCGTGAGGCCCCCGTTTCTCCACAGCCTGCAATACCCTAATTCAGATATTCCACCACGGCCTTGACAGAACTCTTGCGGCTTCGCTAGGTAGCTTCTGCATGTCCAGCTGGCATCTCACCGGCCCTTTTCCCACCTGCTCTCCATCTCAACTTGTCTTTCCACTGCAGACAGGAAGCCCTCTGTCCGTTGACAGTCAGGGCAATACGTGGCATGCGATGAGCTTCAGTTGCTCATCTTCCCCTTATGGCCACCAGCCATGAACCTTCACAGCCTTCTTTGCCTAGCACAAAGGGCCAGTTCCGCATCTATCATTTGCTCCGCTGTTGTCGGAACAGAAACTCCCCTCTACATCGCATGCCACTTTCACTTTGATCGTTGGATTTTATGGCAGCGCCCAGACTGCATGCCGCTTTCACTTCGTTTGATCTCTCGGGTTTTATGGTACTGTCTGCATAGATTTAGGGCCATTTTTTATGGCCATTCAGGGGTGACTTTGCAGTCAGTAAAGCCTTGGCCCCGGATATCTGAATGTGGTTTTGAGCCGCGTCTCTTTCTGTTCCAGTGCTGGGTTTGGTAAAACAGCAGAGCGAATGCTAGATGCAGAATGGGCCAGTTAAAGAGTCCAGTGACACCTTTAAGACCAACAAAGTTTTATTCAATAAATAATAAAACTTTGTTGGTCTTAAAGGTGCCACTGGACTCAAACTTTGTTCTGCTGTTTCAGAACAACATGGCTACCACACACGCATTTATTCTGGTATAACCTTTGTGTGAATCAGAGCCCACTTCATCAATGCATGGTTCATTACTTCCCATTCAAATGGGGAGTGTCAATTATTCTAAAGATGCACTATGGCCTCAGGAAAGAAATTAAATAGTAGAAAAAAACTTCTTCCAATTTCAGACATGAAAAACTCAATGTTTCACCTGCCAGGAATTACTTAAGGACAATTCCAAAATTGTACCTTCCAAACAGTAAAGCAAAGTGTCCCCAAGCCCACCCAAATGAAAAATTAGTGAACAAGATCCAAGGGAAAGCATCCCAAGCCAACGCCAGCACAAGAGGGCATTCTGGCCCTATTGCCAAGCAAATGGTGATGCAACTCACTGTCAGGAAAAGCTTGGATACCTCTGGAGATATGGGGGAGGGGAACAACTGGGACTTAAGAACATAAGAGAAGCCAATGCTGGATCAGGCCAGTGGCCCATCCAGTCCAACACTCTGTCACACAGTGGCCAAAAATACCAGGTGTCATCAGGAGGTCCAGCAGTGAGGCCAGGACACTAGAAGCCCTCCACTGTTGCCCCCCCCCCCAGCACCAAGAATGCAGAGCATTACTTGCCCCAGACTCCCTATCTATACCTTGTGGCTAATAGCCACCAATGGACCTCTGCTCCATATGCTTATCTAATTCCCTCTTGAAGCCGTCCATGCTTGTAGCCACCGCCACCTCCTGTGGCAGTGACTTCCATAAATAGACTTGTGATATTTGTCTGAGGACACTTACATCCTAGCAAGTGAGGGCCTACAAGGTTCCTCACACCGCTCATGAGTATCCAATGAAGCAGAGCATTGGGACAGGATTTAGGTGTGTGAGCTACATCTTCGAAGCTGAGGTCTACGTAAAGCTCGACAAGAAGACATATACCTTTAGCTCCAAACCAGGCCATACCAAGGAACCAAAAGGACCAGCTCCCCCAAACCCTGCTTCTGCCCCTCCCTGGCACAACTGAAGGCAAAAATGGGCACAAGGATGGTCTGAAGAATGTCCAAACCAATGGACCTCTTCCAGTTCAGACAATGATTGGTCAATCCCCAAAGTTCCTTCTTTTGTGTCCTGGCCAGGAAACTGCCAGCTTGACATGCACATTTTAAAAGGGGATTGCTGTAAAGTAGCTACACAACATAGGCAGGAAGATGATAGGCATAAGACCAATGCCACAGATTTCATTTAACTCCACACGTAGCTGAACTTTTCCTTCCTCCACACCTACCCAGCAGAAAAATATTACAGGCACAATATGGGTACCTGTCTTCTAGTAAAGGTACACACGCATTTATTCTGGTATAACCTTTGTGTGAATCAGAGCCCACTTCATCAATGCATGGTTCATTACTTCCCATTCAAATGGGGAGTGTCAATTATTCTAAAGATGCACTATGGCCTCAGGAAAGAAATTAAATAGTAGAAAAAAACTTCTTCCAATTTCAGACATGAAAAACTCAATGTTTCACCTGCCAGGAATTACTTAAGGACAATTCCAAAATTGTACCTTCCAAACAGTAAAGCAAAGTGTCCCCAAGCCCACCCAAATGAAAAATTAGTGAACAAGATCCAAGGGAAAGCATCACAAGCAAACACCAGCACAAGAGGGCATCCTGGCCCTATTGCCATGCAAATGGTGATGCAACTCACTGTCAGGAAAAGCTTGGATACCTCTGGAGATATGGGGGAGGGGAACAAATGCGACTTAAGAACATAAGAGAAGTCAATGCTGGATCAGGCCAGTGGCCCATCCAGTCCAACACTCTGTCACACAGTGGCCAAAAATACCAGGTGTCATCAGGAGGTCCAGCAGTGAGGCCAGGACACTAGAAGCCCTCCACTGTTGCCCCCCCCCCCAGCACCAAGAATGCAGAGCATTACTTGCCCCAGACTCCCTATCTATACCTTGTGGCTAATAGCCACCAATGGACCTCTGCTCCATATGCTTATCTAATTCCCTCTTGAAGCCGTCCATGCTTGTAGCCGCTGCCACCTCCTGTGGCAGTGAATTCCATAAATAGACTTGTGATATTTGTCTGAGGAAACTTACATCCTAGCAAGCGAGGGCCTACAAGGCTCCTCACACTGCTCGTGAGTATCCAACAAAGCAGAGCATTGGTACAGGATTTAGGTGTGTGAGCTACATCTTTGAAACTGAGGTCCACGTAAAGCTCGACAAGGAGACAAATATACCTTTAGCTCCAAACCAGGCCGTACCAAGGAACCAAAAGGACCAGCTCCCCCAAACCCTGCTTCTGCCCCTCCCTGGCACAACTGAAGGCAAAAATGGGCACAAGGATGGTCTGAAGAATGTCCAAACCAATGGACCTCTTCCAGTTCAGACAATGATTGGTCAATCCCCAAAGTTCCTTCTTTTGTGTCCTGG